TATATATATATATATATATATGTCATTTTTAATGCATAAAATTCCAATAAAGAACAAAATAGATAGCCCTAAGCAAGCATAGAATATTCCAGCTACCACTCTTTGAGGTGAAAAAATAAAGTATAAAATCAACAAAAATAAGTACAAAAACACAGTTGGTTTCTATCAATTACTTTCCACTCAAATGAAAGGCTTGGGAACCTACTCTCAAAACATTATGGATGTAACTAATGATATATCTCTATGTATGGTAGTACCGAAGGGTTATCATTTTTTTATAATTAACATAGCACATTGCTGTTATGTGAGATATAAGAGAGAAAGAAAAAAATTTTGCACATATAATACCACTAAAACTATTAAAAAGAATGAGATGACTGTTCTAAGAAGGAACACTACTTCATCAATCATGAATAAGGTTTTCATAGCTGTAGTTGCCTATAATCGTGTTGATGACAAACATCTTATTGTCCTCTACAGAAAACTGAGTGACTTGGAGGTGATCATTGATGAGATGTAAAGGATTTAATGACAATTGCAATCATCAGAACTATAGAACATATTAATAAATACCTTTTATGACTTTTATGGTCTAGACATTCAGGACTTCTAACTGAATACCAAGATTTTACTAGTTTCAATCAATTTTCATAATTTCAAAGAAGAGGGAAGAAAACAGAATTTTTATAACGAATCATAAACAATTAAAGATGGAGGAAAACAGAAACAACTCCAGTAAAACTGATAAAAAGGATTAGAAGAACAACAGAGGTTACCCATAACCAAGTAAGCAAGGAAGAGGTTGTCACCAATTAAGGAGTAAGAGACCATAAATCTCATGGCACCAACAAGGGGAGGAGAAAGAGTATGTCAGCCAGGCACTTCAACGGAAAGAGAGGGCTTGGTTTTCAATAGTCAATTCCATTCAAAACTTTGACATTAAGCACAAGTACTTAGCCATTAAAAGAGACAAGAACATAGATTATAAATGACTATTAAGTTCTAGAGGGATGTTGACTCGTAGCAAATAAAATGAAGGTAAACAAGAACATCACATAAAGTTGAATTGCAAGACTTGGCATGATCACAAAATTCACCACCCCCCCCCCCCCCCCCCCCACCACAACACCAAGCAAGGCTTATAAAGGGGCATAAGGGGAGTTTGGCAGGGGGACAACGTCACACATTTCACCTCTTTGTTCTTTAAATTGTTCCTTCATATTCATCTCCTTTCGCTTCTTTGATGTTAGAATTTGAAAACCAACAAAGAGGGTATTTTTAGCATACTTATTGTTGTTAGAGAGGTAGCTATCAAGAAAATATTGGGTTTTAGGGTGAGGAAGCCTCCCTCTTACCACCGCCACCTCCAATGTAACTACTTTTTCTCCTTTGTCACCTTTTTGAATTGTCATATTTGGGATTTTTAGGTAGCGGTGATTTCACAGAACGTGAATGAATCCACATTCCACTACTAGTATTTGGGCTAAGATAAAAGTCTAGCCTACGTCATTAATTGTTTTTATTAACAATTAAAACATATTTTTAAATAAGATGATATCAAACTAATCTTAGCCTTAATTAAATATTGGAGTATGGCAAGTGAGTACTTAACTTTCCAAAAAGATGGGAAATGCATTTCAATAGCTTAATTAGAAGCTAATTATTTTTTATTCTACATTAAATAATCACTAAATGTTCACATGCTTTATAGCTTTAATGCATGCTTGTAAATTTTAGTTGACCAACATAATTTGGATCTAAATTACATGGCACTCTAAGTCGCTAAATTAACTTCACAAATTAGAAAAAATCAAAACTACACATTGAATCCTTAAGGACATTTTCAAGGAAAATAATTTTCTATAGTAATGAGTAGAAACAATTATAGTTAATAGGCGTGTTTTCATTATCTTTTTAACGCAAATTATGAAAATACTTTAACAACATAGTTGTTACCGTTAATTCTGGACTTATATGCCACGTCATGATCCTAACTAACCATAGTATCAAGTCAATTGTCTCAAATCATTCAATGTAGAATTGGCTTATATTATTACATGAAACCGCGATCCTTGATAATCGCATAAAAAGAGGTTCCCTGAGAACATAAACCTTGTTGTAAATAAAGATTTGAGAATTGATTAATAAAAGTCAATGTCTTAATTATTCTCTCCATAATGGAAATTTGCATATTAAACTTCATGAAATATTAGCACATCATTATAAATGTTGAGCATAATACGCATGCTAGATCTTATACAAAAACCTTTGTTTTTCACATGGATAACAAATAATTTCAAGTTAAGTCCTCATTAAGATTAGGAAATTAACATAGATGATTTGATGATTTGATGGATTGGATATATCTATGATGACAAGTCACTACAAAGCAGGAATCCATACATCCTTACATTTGCTATAATTAAAGGGTCCCACATGGAACTGATGAATTCATATGTGGTGACAACACAGTATGCAAAATTCGAAGGGGCATAACTCAGAAAAATTAAAACAGAAATTATTATGGTTCCAAAAATGAAAGATTTCATATAAATGAACCATTGACAACTTCAAAGATGTTCATAAAAAATTTGATATAAACATTTGATCACATGTTGAGATATCTATTTGTTTGGTTAATGACATGTTCCTTTCGTGTATCCTCTATTGGATCATATTTTATTTGTGGGTTACAGCAAATGATGTCAGAGTTGATCCAAACAATAATAAGTAAATAATTATTATTACTAAAAAGATAAAAGACGGTTACAACCCAGCACACGAAAATGGGAAATAACGACAACGTGCACAAATAGACACTAGGGGTTCAATTTGGTGATGGTAAGTTACAGGGAGTAGAAAGCGCAGTAAGGGACTGGAATGATGGATAGCATGATGGGCGGGGGCAGTGGCAAAAGCAAAGGAGGTGTGGGGGTGCGGTTGAGGGATGGCAGAGAGTCTGCAGCAGCTGGACAGCAAGATAACAGTGGCAAAACAGCAGCAGTTGCTGTTTGGGGTGGCAGCAAGATAGAGTAAGGGTTTTGGAGGGGTGGCAGCATAAGAAAAAGGGAGGGCTGGTCTTGGAAGGCGGAAGTGGGTGGAATGGGGGTCTGGAAGGCAGCGGCGGGTGGAGGCTGATCTAGAAGGAAACCGAAAAGCGGGAGGCGGGTCTGGAAGGCAGCGACAGAGGTGGAGAGCCGGATAGAAAAAATTTGCAGGAAAAATAGCAAATGAATGTTGTTCTAAGTGGCTACATCAAGGGGGGGATGCATCGCATTGAAGCAGTAGAGATGTGGAAGAGTTGGGGAAGGATAATTCACCATCTCGGGAGCGAGATACAACCAAAGAACCACTCGAATCTTGATTATAGCCATAGACGGGAAAGCTGGAGACGCCGATAGATGTCCCAAACAATAATCATGAAAAAACTGACTTCCAAACCCTAATACAACACAAATATAGAAAATGACTAGAAAAGAGTTAAGAATAATAGTAAAGAAAGTAGAAAAGGAAAGAAAGCCTCGCGACATGGCCCTAACTCGATCGTAGAAGGAACTGAGGTTCCACGGTATGAAACCACACGCTCCACATCATTCTCCTAGGGTTGGGAGAGCTTCAACTTCACCCAATGAAGATTCTATCTTCTTATAGTATGGTGTCATTTCAGCAACGTCGAAGGTGGTGGAGCTACTGTAACTTCCTGGTAAGTCAATCCTACATGCGTTATCATTTCACAACTAATCCTGATAAAATAAATATTCATCCCTTTTTAACACAATCTGAGATAGAGCTGCATAAAGATGAAGATTTTCACGAGCCAAATCCCGGGCAATTAATCTATAATCTGCTTATCTCACTCTTCGTACTCGGTATGGCGTCATGTTGGCCACGTTGAAGGTAGCGGAGCTATTGTAACTACCCGGTAAGTTAGTCTTACAAGTGTTGTCATTTTAAAGCACATCCTGATAAATTAAGTATTCATCCTCCTTTAGGACACCATGAGCTAGAGTTACATATAGGATTTGATTCTCACGAGTTAAATCTCGAGCAATTAAGTCTATAATCTACTTCTTCCACTCCTCGTACTCGGTTGAGTGCATCAAATAAACAAATACATCATGAGGAATCAACTCTGAAACGAAATCTATGACAAACTAAAACACATTGTGAAGTGTAACCACTCACGAGAGGCCTCTTCATCTTCTCTAAAAGAACCTAGATCCCACTTTAGGATGTTCTTACCCATAAAAATCCCAAGGCAAATTCCAACGATGTAATTCATCCCTCATATCTCACCATCTATTAGTAGGTACAATGATAAATTGAATTTAATACTCAAATGACTTCATATGGTTTTCCAGAAGTAGCTCAAAAGCTTCGCAACCCTAACCAGGCCTTCTGTGGCCAGAATACTTGTGAAAAGGGATATTACTGAAGTCTGGCTGGGCACAACTCACAATGGATACTGGCAATAAATTGTCGTGGAACATAAACCTTTTGATTGTACCCACTGTAGGATATTTGGAAATACACTTGATAAATGTCACACGCTTCATCCAAATTTGAAAGCTAAAGCTCAAGTAAACAAGGAGGGGTCTAACCCCATTGCTATGGATACATCTGCTCAACCTGTGGAGGAAGTTCCCACGAGATAGGATTTGGTGTCTAATTTACCTGTGGATCCCCCCTTGCCAATACTGTTTTTGTTTCTGCGACTGATGTGATGTCAGATGGCTCTGTTGGGCAACTTACATCTTTAAACCTTATTGATAACATTACTAAAGATCATTACTTACAAAGGATAATGTTCAGACTGGTACTCAGGTGAGCCTTGCAGCTCCTCATCTTCAAAAAACATCTGGAGTAGAGGGG